CCCCGTTGCGCACACCAAACATAGCACCGTGAACATGCGGCCAGTTGGGCAGTTTTGCCGGGCCATGCAAATCCTACGGGCCAAAGCGCGGCCAAGGGCCAGTGCTCTAAGGGACAGCCTTTGCAAAGTTCAACTAGCAGGTCGAAGAATATCTCAGCATCCTTGCCAGACGGCCCGTGCTTGCCGGCTGCCGCCCCATGTTGGCGTTTCAGGCTTCTTAAGATTGTGCCTGCCCACGCAGTAGCGGCAGTTGTGGCCAAAAGCCTTGATATCGCGCAGCAGGATGTTGCTATCATAGGCTGACCTTAGTGCTTTCAGTCGGTCGCACATGCTGAATCGCTCTTGTGCTTGTGCGCGATGCCAGTGATACAATCAGGAGCGACCGAGACATGCGTCCATGTGTTGCAGTGATGAGGCCACATAGCGCTCAATCCACCGCGCCCATCTTGGGTGCAAGGATTTTGCCAAGGAACAAAGTCTTTGCAGCGTGACACGTAGTCTTCGGTCAGTTCTCCTGATGCCTCGTCGTGTCGCCTTTTTTGGACTAGGTCTCTTCAAGGCCGCAGATGCTGATTCAGAGCTTATACGAGGTGAGTCTGAGGCGCGTGTGATTGCGGCGTTGCCTGAACGAGCTGCATAGCTATGCTGAACCCAATGCGGGAAGCTTGCGAGAAGCTGTATGTACGATGCATTCCTGACATCAGCAGCTCCTGAGCCTTGTCGAACACCTGCTTTGCCTCAGCGCCGGCTGAGCTACCTCAGCTGAAGAGCTGGTTTCAAACTTGTGTCATGTCGGCGCAAAACATGCAAGGCTCTTTCTGTGATAGTTGCAATGGGCAAGTTTTGGTTTAGATGCAACTGGCCGACTTCACTGTGAAAGTGAGAGTGGCTGAGCGGTCTAGGTCTGGCCTGGCAATCACATGTTGCCCGAGTTTGTTTCATCAACGAGTTCCGCTTCAGCTTTGTCATAGGCCTCTTCCAAAATGCATTGCTTACCTTCGCAGAAGCCTTTCCGTACTCTTCGAGGCAAGATTCCCACCGCTGAGGGTCTAAGATGATGTTCTACAAACGCGGCCCCCCAGTTCCTTAGACCAGGTGCCTCCTCTTCTTTCGAGTGACCTCGAGCGCTTGAGAGAGGAATCTGCGCTGTGACCCGCTGGTTTTTGCCCTGAGACCTCAATA